AATCTTGCATTTTAAGGCATTTCTGCCTTAAAATGCAAGGCAGAAATGAGTTACTGTTGTAATTTGATATGTAGTTTTTAAATGTGTATCTGTAGACTTTGTTATTGAATGTATGTTTTGTAAATGTGAAGTGTTTTGCTGTTAAAACAGTAAAAAGTTGTTGCCGTTCTGTTCATTGAGGAAGTATTCTGGTTGGTTTCTAACTTACTGCTTACTTTGTACTACTTAGTTTTTACATAACTAGCTAAAAAAAACTTAGTCAATAAATAAATAAAGTTTAAAAAAAGTTTTTTTTTTTCTTTCTTTACCTATACCATACCCTTAACTTTGATAATGCATGCCCTGACAAGGCAATGATAACTCCCATTCAAATTTTCGATTTTCTACTCAAGTTTTAGAAATAAATGCAGAGCACACAATATTCCAACAACTTTCTTTATACTGGAAGGTTTACAACAGTCAAATACAGCTCACAATTAAAGTGACAATAGCATTAAGGCACAATTAAGTTTTACATAAAGAAAAACTAAGTCAAAGTTTTTTTTCTCTTTACCTGAAGAGGCTTCTTCAGATCTGCTTATTCTGGAAGGTTTAAAACAGTCTTAAGTCAAATACAGACACAATGAAGTTTTTTGTTTACCTATAGAAGCTCATTCTGGATTATTTGCAAAAAAGTGCAAAAAAGCGTCTGTCAATGAAAGTGCAAAGGCCGAAAAATAAATACTAAGTAAAAAAAAGTGTTTGTTTTTTTTTCTCTGAAAAGTGACTGAGTATCTAACAATGAAAGTGCAAAGGCCATAAAGTGACCCTGTTGCCAAAAAGTTTCAGTAAAATACTCACAAGTCCAGCAAACAACAAGTGAGCTGCTTCAAATAAAGTTGCTCCTTCACTCTACCTGGCAGAGTCCAAGCTGCTGTGTTCACAAGTCTTCTCCATTACATCTGTTAAGACAATAACATACAAGGCACAATGAATAAAAACAATGAGCTGGAATAACACAATCCAAATATATTTACATCAAGGGCAACTGGACAAAGTCGGTGTTTTTTGAAAATGTTAAGCTGAACTGAAGAAGCATCAAGAGGTGAAATGTCTTCATAAAACCTACTTCGTCCACTTGTCTTCGATGTAACTATTTTTGGAACAATCAAAAGCTGTGTTGGTCTCATTTACGTCTTGCCGTCAGTGTGGAAAGCCACAGTTGATGGGACCACAGTTACCTTTGACTCGTGCCAAACACCGTACACAGATTGCAGGTTGCACAGCAACAAATTCATCTTACATGATTGGAGAAATTGTGGCAGAGTCAAAGAACTGCAAAGATGGCACTCAGTCATTTGCACACTACGTACAGCAGTGATCATCAACTGGCAGTCCACGTCTTGGATTCCAAAACAAACATTAAATAATAATTTCATTTTTACTCCACTCTATCTGGTGCCTGACTTAGAGCTTTGAACTAAGCAAACTTTTGTTCAAGCACTCATCTCAGTGTTTCAAGCACTCATCACTCATCTCAGTGCTTTTGTTCACTCACTCATCTAAGGCCTTAAAGACAAGTCACTCAGCTTTATTGGACTGCAATCTGTCAACATTAAAAACTAACAAAACCATAACAGACTGTTCATTTCAAACTGTGCCACTCATTTCCCCTGAGATGTACTTCAAATATTCTAAAGTCTAGTTGAGTATAAGTACATAAGTCAGTGGATTCACATTACGTGAGGTCTGCAGTATGGACAGACTGACCAACACACCTAGACTGAAAGAAAATGTCACTGTAAATAAATGGGGCAAGTGGACACACTCAAAGTAACCACACCTATTACTGTGTAGTATTTTTCATGTATCTCCTTATAACCCCAGCAAACTGTCAATGTTTACTTCAGATTACACATACTCGTATAACAAACTATCAATAAATATCTTCAAATAAATTTCTCATTCACTTATTTCTGTTGTTCTGCTTTGGAGCAGGTGTCTCAAGCACAAATCACTGCAGGGTCACCTCACAATTCCATACATATATAAACAAATCCAAAAGTTAAAAGGAAAACAAACTCTTTTCTGTGTTGAAGACTTCCGTTAGGCAACTAGACATGACATTTTCACTCAACAGGTGGGCTAAGACACAACCTATCACCACCATACAGAAACCAATGAGGATTACAACAACCCATCAGACTCCTAACAACTGTTAACACTTCCCCAGATGACCCCAAACGGCCCACACGGCAGGAGGGACCTATATATATAGTATATATTTGCTGTACTCCCCTCCATCGGTTAGAACTGAAGAAGACTCATATGATTCATGAGGACACGCCCCCCGGTTCGCCATCACCAAAGGGCCTGGTGAATGCGCATATGAAACTGGTGAAGTTCAGTACCTCCATCAAGGTTAAGAACCACTGATTTGTAACATTTTTCAACAACTGCTATCACATCAATCATTTACATAAGAGTTCTCACCTTGGCTGTGTTGTCCTTTGAGGCACTGATGAACATGGTGAGGTCTGGATGTCGTTAATGTGCCTTTGTGCTCCTTAGCTTTCTTCAGGACTTCTCCGGAACATTGACAAATGAACAACAACAACAACAAAAAAGTTCCTCATTATCACAAGCTCTACAAACGATGCTGTCTTTGATTTACTATTTCTTTAGCAGTAATCAGGAAATTGTGTACTATCTGCATTCTTGTTTCTTTTATGGTATTCATTTGTTTATGTTGCACGTGACGATTACCTACCGATCTGTGGATCCCTCAGGTCGAACAGTTTCATGAAACACTGCAAGCCCATCTGCTTGTCTGTGGAAAACATGATGATGTTGCCGCTGAAATCGAAACCGTGTGTTCTGACGGCAGACATTAAAGAAGGGACAAAGAGCAAAAATTAAAGAACAAAATATAAAACACTTTAGAGGAAATTATCCAAAATACATTTAAACACTCATACACTAATATGTCTGCTGGAACCACCTATATAGCTGTTTATTTTATTTCATTATTTCGCTACTCAACTATTTACACTGTGCATATATTTCTTTCTATTTATTTTAGATACCTGTTCACATAACATCCTTATAATTATACACTATAAACTATATTATAGTTCTGCTTATAAACACATATCATAGGTATAATGTGGTATCCTTTACTACACATACTACTGCTGCTGGAACTCCCAAGAGATTCAGAACCTTCTATATATATATATCTATCTATCACATGCATTTTCTTTTCACCCACCGGTCTCGTGGGTGACAGTAATAAGATAAAAGGATGCAGTCACAGTTGACTCGATGCACCGCACAGCTCCCGTGGCTGTTGTAGGTACAGAGGACCACACGTTGGCCACCTGTGTGGGGAGACATTGTTGAAGGTAAATATTAAAAGGCTTCAATGCAATCATGGCTTCAATCACAAATGAATGGTTTGCTTTACACTACTGGCGCCACCAATAACCTGAGGAAGAAATCCACGTTGCACAACTTTCTTTTTAATCTGAATGAAAATAAATCACTTCTACTGGCCTAAGTCCCCTTTTCATGACTACAGTATGATTTTCATATCACACACACTATAGAACATATAGCCCTATGTTTGTAACAACCAAAAGTCAACAATAGCAGAGGATTACTCTGCTACTCGACTAGCAGAGTCATGTTGTCATTTGTAGGTTCACGTGGACATTGCATATTCTTGACGTCAAATTTATTACTACCTTATAGTCATTGGTGGCACTTGTTAAGCGCAATCATTTCATGGCACTCACTGGATCTTTAGCGACGGAAAACAGGTCTCCATGGACCGTGTGAGGCCCTTCAGTAGGATGGGTTTCTGTAAAGAAAAGCAATATTTGCAAGTTAATTTCATATTTTCAAAAAGGTGCATCAGCCCAGCTCAAACTCCTGTCAAAGGAGTTTGAGCTGAATTTACCACGACAACTATATGTTCATTATTTAGGACGAAAAACTAACTACAAATTTTAACTTCTGACAAAAGTTAACGTTAGCTGCCGAGACGCATATGCTAGCGTAAATTGCACAGTCTCGACCGAACACTACCATTTCAAACAAAACAACAATAACAACAACTATATATTCAGACATTCTGTATGTATATCTTTTTGTATATATATTCAGACTTTCTGTATACATAGTCAAGGATTAATATCCTGAGTGGCATGCCTTAATACACACACACACACACACACACACACACATATATATACATTATTTCTTTGATTCAAAGAAAATAACAGTCAAAACTAAAATCCATCTAGGTAAATCTTAATTAGAAAAGAAATGTGTATAATATAATTTCCATTAGGGTCTGCCCACATGCTCCGAGTATCCCATTACGGCTAAATAAAGTGAAAAACACAGACATATGGCCCTGTAAATTTCCATCATGTGTCCTGTAATCAAATGATCTATAGCTGGCTCTGTTTTTTGCCCTATTGTACTCTGTGCGCCTGTGGAGCGACTGTAGAACCCCGTAGAACAATGCTGGAGTTTGAAGAGGCCCTTTTAAATTAGCTTCACTTTGCAGCTCTGCATATCAAGTCGAATCATCGTCAGTGAAACCTAATATGTCAGTTTCAGTCTGGTATGGCAACCATTGCTGGGGTTTGTCTGGCTGTCTGTAGGACAATTGGTTAAATAAAGTTAACCGTTTCTCTCCCCGAGCTACATGGCTGCTTTGATCCTGCTGCGCCTGGCGCCTGTCTGCTCCCTCCTCCCTCCCCTCCCCGTGACACTGATAGATTGCTGGGTAACTATACAAGCTCACAATGACTGTAATTTAGTGTCCAACAACATTACATTCTCCTTTGCTCACTCTCTATTATCACTCTCACTCTACTACTGTTTGAAAGCTGCACGTCATGCTGTCTATTATGTTTGGTTTCTCCTCCTTTGTTTGATAACGAAGGAGTAAATCATATTTCCTGCCAAGCCAAAAAAGCTCAACAATATAAGCTGCACTTTTGCACACATTAGGATAACAAAGCAAACATCTTATTTTTAAAAGACGCTGCATCAAGTTATTTTGTAAGACCAGCATACACACACAGAAGGTAAACTGAGTTATTCCCTGAAATTAATAAACTTCAAAATAGGGTTGTTTCCTGTTACTGTAAGATTATGTTAGCCATATTTATCAACAGGTGGTAGATCCAACAATATCGGCTAGGTTAGGCATGGGCAAACTAAGGCCCGGGGGCCGGATGCGGCCC